CGCATGCACATTTTGTTCATTAGAAGCTTCAAACGAGCGCGCTGCTTAACCTCTGCTTAGCACACACACGCACACACAGCGACCCAGCCACATCCACGTTGAGCACTTTGTGTCCGCTCTCCTCTGTCCTTGCTGCGTTTTTCAGTTCATTTCGCTAGTCGAGCTCTGTGTGTTTTTTCCCTCCTATTTCGGGACAAAAGGAACCGCCTGCTGTGAGCAGCTTTCGTTGAGCTCGTGCCACTTGCAGCTTTCACCAATGCCAAAAGCATGCGCGCCAGAGCGAGACGGCAGGCAGAGAGTGGGCGAGTCAGCACGAGTGTGTGTTGCTCCCATTAGCCAAAAGGATTTATATTACAAGCGTACACATAAAAAGCACCGCAGGATATTTTGTTTTATGTGAATTTAATTGTTGTTTTAATCCAAAGGTGGTCCAACTTCTGTACAGCTCACTCTCTGACTCTCTCTCTCTCTCTCTCTCTATGCTCTTTGTCTAGTTCTCAAATACGCTCTGAGCTGGTTCAGCGTGTGTTATTTTATATTAATAGCATTGCATTTTTAATAATACCTGAGCACACATGTCGGCTACTTGATTTTTCGCTTTGTGCTGCTCGCCTGTTTGCCCTTTGACCAGAAAAACTGCAATTGAAAAGTCGGTCAAGCGCACGAATTTACCAAGCAACCGAATTTGCTCACTAGCTAAAGCGCATCGAACCCAGTTTGGGGCATCAATAAACTGTATTATAGCATAACTATTATGTAATTATGGAAGCCAACAAAACAGCAAATGATTTTCAACTTTGTTTACCTAGCACTCTTCGAATTGGGAAATCAACTTTTTTTATATTTTAAATATAAATATTTGACTTAGCTAAATATTTATTTAAGTAAGCCTCGATATATACATATAAAACTAGAATACGCGATATTTTGCTGCTCTCTCACCTGGTCACTTTTTGAAAAGTTTGTAAAATATAAACAAAATATTTAAATATTTAGAATTAACTTTTTAAACTTATCAAATTTTATTTTACTTATAGTTTTACACAAAATAACATGAAAATTATTTTTTTTATTCTGTACATTGATTTTTTTAACATATATAAAAAAAATTAAAATATTTCGATTATATTAACTTACTCCAGTTATATACAACTAATATAATTTATAATTTTGTATATTATTTAATTTGTAAATAAAATTAATGAGATAAAATTTAATAAAAATAATATTTAATTTATTATTTTTAATACAATTTTATTAAGCAATTGTGTACTTTTTAATATATATATAAATATTTGATTTTATTTATAAATAAAATAATATACAAAGTTAAAATTATATTCGTTGTATATAAATAGACTAAGCTATTTTTTTTTAAATATATTAATATATCCAGTATTTAAATTTTGTAAATATATATTTTATTGTTTTGCTAATGAAAATTATATTTAATTTAGAATTTTTCGTTAAAATATTACTATAATCTATTTTTGTAGTTAATAAAATAATTTATTTATAAATATTTGTAAATTTTTCTCCAACCTGTGAAAATGTTAGATTTTAAGCAATTTATAAAAGGCTTAAAAATAGCTAAGATATGTATTATTTATTATATTATTATGCAATATTATTATCTATATATGACAAGAAGCCCTACTGGACATCATTACATTTGTCCGCGTGATAAACAAATTTATTTGCAAATCGTTCTTTATTTATTTTTAACTTAATTTCAAATATCTGACAAAGTTAAGTTACCCTGCCTTTTGTATAGAGCAGCTGAGCATAAACGTCAACTGCTTAGAAGACTTTGTCGATTTTGCCCAGCAGGCAGGAAAAACTTAAAAATGCCTAAATAAAATAAAAGGAAGGCAAAGTAAACTTGGCCAAGTTTTTTGAGTAGAAATATCAACGGAAATATGGCAAACACAATTCCGCACACACACACACACACACTGAGAGGGAGTATAACCAACATGGGATCAAAGTGTGCATATCCTGCTTAGCCGGGTTTTTGTAATGTGCTTTTCTAGTTGTGTTGCTGATGCTGTTGTTGTTGGCAACACACACACACCCATACACACATACGCTTAAGCAAGTGCTGCCCACAAAAAAGGGACAATTTGTTTAAAGGTAACGAAAAGTTTTGGCGCTCTCATTTCTTTTCGTCTTTTGGCAGAGCAAACTTTAGGTGCGTTTCGGTTGGGGCGCCTCGGACCTGAAATGCTTTGCATAAACTTGAGCGGCAAAAGTTGAAAATGTTTGTTGTGCTATATATGAAAATGGCAACAACAGCAGCAGCAACAGCAACAACAAACGGCAAACAACAAAGATAAAGTTCAAAGGAAATGTGGCACAGGAAACGCAGCCAAAGATACAGAAAGAGAAAAATATGAGAGCAGACGACAACAGGCCAAAACGTATATCTATATATTTTGATATAAAACAAAATATTAAGAAAGTTATTTCAACAAAATGAAAGTTATGCTCGGCTTTTGCTGACACACGCACACACACACAGGTACACGCTGACTCTTGACTCTTGCTCAGGTATTTTATCACGATTTATTTCATTTAATTTCGAGTAGATTTTGTTTTTGATTTATTTCAAAATTCATTTGATGTGCTGCAAAAGTTTTTGGCCACTTTGTAGTTAATTAAAACACGTTTACAACTTATAGAAAACAATCTAAATTAATAATAAAATCAAATCACAAATTTAAGATACATATCTAAGCCAAAGAAATAAATGTGGCTTTGCTTTTGTTGTTTCTTAGCTGTTTTTCTTAGCTGTTTCCCACAAATCATTTGCATAATTTAAGGCGTAATTCTGGCGCGGTGCCTTAAATTGATATTACAAGCGCAATTTGTGTTTGGATACGACCCATTCCCCCGCGTTCTTTTACTCTACAGATCTCTTTCTCTCCCTGTCTCTCTCATTCTGTGTGCTTTTCTCACTCTCTATGACATTAGATGGCATGGGTGCTAAGTACATGGAAAAACTGTGCCATGGCAACATTTTTCCTCGCTGCCGCCTCGTTTCGTTTCGTTTCGTTTCGTTTGGCTCGGTTTGGTTTCGCTTGTTCAGCGAGTCGTTGGGGCGTGTTCATTCATTTCCTGTTGCGCCTTAAGTTATGCAAAGCTTATGGCAAAGTGAACAAGCTCTAAGTGGGCTGGATGAACAGGCCGAGCCACATGGAAATGAGCAAAATGTTAAGACATCAGCAGCAGCAGCAGCAGCACATGGGCTCATGGAATCGCCAGATAAGCGAATATAGTTTATGAATAACAACAATGTACAAAACTAAAGCAAATCGTACGTGTTTTTATATAATTTTCTTTGATAATCAAAATAGCATCATAGCATTCGCCTGAAGAAGCATATGCTAAAAAATTATATGGAAAAACATTTGGTGGTGTTACTTGAGCCAAATGAAACTAAAGAGAAACAGTTCAGTTGCATAACTTTGTGTTTTTGCCAGCTGCCACAGAGCTAATAAGTATTCTGACATTGAATACATATACAAATATACGTGTGTAAGTGTCATTGTATTGACTGCAGTTCTATTCTTTACAGTTTTACGCACTAACAGAATCCACAGATGGGCACACAGAACGCGTAAAGCGCAACTTAGATTGTAATAAAAATAAAATCTCAATCACTTGGTGAAAGCAAAGCTTTTACTATTGACACTGCATTCGTGCACATACACACACATAATTGTATCTTGGACTACAGCCTAAAAACATCTCCAGAGACTGAGCACACATTGAATCCACAAGTGGTCGCACAGAAGACGTAATTCGCTGAGTAATGAGCTGAGTGCTTTAGTGGAAGTTAAATTGAGCGCTTTTGTAATTAACGCTCGTGCACATATACACAATAGTATTCGATGACAGCAGCCTGGAAGTTCGTAAAAGCGAGCATACATAGAATCCACAAGTGGACGAACAGCAGGCGCAAGGCGCAGCTCTGATCATAAAACTGTGCACCTTTCTAATAGATATTCTGCATGCACATTCACATACTCACATCAGGGGAGAGCGAATGGATATGCAATCCACTAGTGGGAGCAGTAATGAAGCGTAGCTTGCATAGACACAAAGCGATGAGCGAAGATATTTAGCTGAGCGCACTTCAAATGCGATTGCCCTATTTATGATATTTTAAGAGAGCGAGCACAGTGAATGGTGCGAAAGGGATAGGTTTATGGACTGAAGGGATGCTTAGTTGCTTGTATTGAGTGCAAATTAAGCTGTTACAGCATTGGTGCGAAGAGCGAGTGAGTAATATACTAGTATATATGTACATATGTATATATCTTTAATCCCGTTGTATTTTTACCTAATTTCTCTTCTCTGTTCTTTGCGATACAATTGCATGTGTGTTATGGCAGAATGAACGGAAAAGAAACATGAGCAGAAAAATACCCTACAAATACTAAAGTAATAGAGTCAAATTTATAGTATATATATATATATATACTACTTCAAATTAAAATTAAGAATAAAAATATATAAATACCCTATAGATATTCAACATACGCAAGAAAGGTATAATATATATCATTTAAAAAACTCTTTAGCTATAGCTTCCTAGGTTTTGTATGTGGAGTACCTACGCTATATTCCAATGAAGAACGTTTCGTCTTTTGCAGGCTCTTATTTTTGATAGGGTATTCTATAGTCGTTCATTACATATTTTTCCCATTTGTCTTCCTCATTTTTAGCATTCCATGGCGTTGGCGCTTGGGCGTTGTCAGTGTTGGTTATTTGAGTTTTTTTACAGTTTCAGATACTTCATCTTTTGCTGTGTGCTGTTGACATCTGTTAAATACCGCAGAGTTTTATAGCAATTAAAAGCTGCAATTTGTGCAGCAGCTGCGGCGCTTGTGATTACACGAACTACATGAAAATTAATGCTGGCGCTGATTTGTGAGACAGACCCCGGCGCAACTCCTTCCCCCACCCCAGTGAGTTGTTGTGCTACATGTTGCATGTTCATCATAATTGAAAGCAGATGTTGAACTTTAATGTACAAATAAAATGCCATAAAGTGTAGACTACGCTAGCCATGATTGCGATTGCGATGAATGTTGAGCAGCCCCTCGTTGTTCTGTTGCTGCTGCTGCAGCTGAGGTTGCTGCTGCTGACCATCCAAAACCCTGAAAAGATTCAAACAATTAACACGGATTGCACTAGGTTGTGGCTCGAGTGGACGCACATGAGATTGATTTGCCCCAGCAGATAGGCCTGCTGCAAGTAGAGTCGCCCCTGAAAGTCGTTGGCCACGTCATTGCTGCCGCGGCGACGACAGTGCTGGCAGTGGCCGGCGTAGGGCGGCTCGCCCTCCTGCCGCTGGGCAGGCGTGGGATTCGGGCGATTGAGTAGCTTGCGATAGCGCTGGGCCAGCTCCCGCTGGTCCTCCTCATCCACATAGGGATCGTACTTGGGTATCTGGGCGTACTTATCGACGCCACGTCGCAGGCCCTGCGCTGACGAGCAGAACATCTTATGCAGCGGCACACACTCCTCCTTCACACAATCAGCGGCACGTTGCTCGGCGACAGCTGTCGACTTGCGACCCCTCTTCAGACGGGCGCCCATCTCCGACATGTTGGAGATGCCCAGATGGGCAACCAGCTTGTCCCCATCCTCGCCCATCTCGTCCAGCAGACTGGGAAAGCGATCCCGCTGACAAGGCGCGTGGAAGTAGGGTCCCTTGTGACCCCAGACCAAATTCATTCTTACAATTTATTTGCTAGCCTTCAGATCAATAAAATTTGTGTAACGTTGACAATCGACAGAAATGAAATATGAAAACTTGTCGAACGTCTCTTTGATAGATGCCAAACTTCGCTTACTAAGATTGCAGCTTAAGTTTCACTTTTGTGTTTTAGAAACACATGAGGAACCCATTGAAAATGTGATTTCTGAATTAAATTGTTTGGCTGACGTGCAAGTAACAAGCAGAAGAAGGCGTGGCAGACCATGAGCTGAGTCGATCAAGCCTTGTTCGTCTATCTGTCCTTTTGTGCATCCGTCCGTCAGGCCCTCCTCCGTTTATACATCCGTGCGTCATAATATAATGGATACCTGCCTCACTTGCTACCAGTATTTTAAGTACCTGTATATTACTGTCACGCTCTGAAAATTTAATGAAGAAAGTCCGTCTGGAACAAAACTTATTCAACAAATAACTTCGCACAGTGACGCTTAGCAGCGCAGTCCAAGCGCAGTCGCTGCGCAGTGAGCAGAGCGCGTGTATATGTGTGTGTGCTTGTGTATACATGTGTGCATGTGTTTGTGCCTACTGTGCATGTATGTATAATAGAAGCGTAGACTGATGCTAAAAGCAGCTCTGCGCTGAGTCAGGGTATATTCTCGTCGTGCACTGCTTTCTTGTTATAAATAGTTTGCATAATAAGATTATATTTATTATATTATATTTTGTTTATATTTAATGTATTGTTTTAAGCTCACATAAGGTAATTATGTATATTCAGTTAAATGTTGTCAAGCGCCTCAATTAGTGCTGCAAGTCGAATCAAATGCACAATTATGAGCCAATTACGTATATGAATTGCGAGTGTCACAGGTATGTCGGCTTGAATAAACATCAATATCTAATTGTTTGTTAATAAATGTGCAATAATAGCCCGACATATTTGATAATTGTAATTATGGATTATTGAGCTGCTCGTTTTTAATTCAGCTTAAATAGTTTACAGCAAATTCTGACAGATGCCCGCAATTGTTGCTATGACAACAATTATACAGAGTAAACAGAACATTGAGAATGTGTTTTATATATTAATTATAGATACTTTTTTAAGCTCGTAATAATTGTATTTTCTGCCTAAGAGAAATTGACTAACTAGTTGCCAAGATTAGGGGAGCTTAATCTGCATAGAAATTGATTAGCTGAATAAAGGCAGAACGAGACGTTAGCATTGGAATGAGTCTAGATACAGTGATAACTAAAGCTGAGAGTTTAATAAATAAATAAATGAATATGTTTTGGTTTCATTAAATTAAATCAGTTGGAGATGCGGCTAAGACAACTCATTCATCAGTCACTAAATCAACTCAGCTTCTTTTCCAGTCAAAAATAAAATAAAATAATTAGAAATACGCATAAGGAAGAAAGGATATGTAATTCCTTTCACATGGCACTTGATTTGTTGCGGCTGGAAATTAAAATCCATTACAACGAAAGCCATTATAATATTTCAAACCTAAATTAAATGAGAAATTGTGGATACAAAAAAAAAGAAGTGGAGTTGTTCTGGCTCTGGCTCGCAATTGTCAGTTGCGTTGATTAACATTCAGCGAAATCACAATAAAAGTAATTATTTTGATTACAATTCTAAGCCAAAGGCAGGCGGCAGACACATGTCCATGCCAACGTTACATAAACACGCCTGAAATGTGCCCTGCCAGTGGGGCTATGGGCGTGGCAGACACACACACACCCACACACACACACACTCACAACGCACATCAGCATGAAAAATGTATTTTAATGTGTCGCCCGCTCTGTCATTTGGTTACCTTTGCCAGTATTGCGAGCTGCCTGTTGTCGTTTTTAATGTCTTTCATTTTGGCTCGTTGTGGGCGTGAGCAGAGAAGGCCGGGCAAGCAAACAAACCATTAGGCGCATTTCATAGCGTTTGTAAATCATAAAATGCCTTCAAAAATTCCGAAAATTCCAGCCGCTTGCTCGGCTTGCCAACTTTGGCTTTGACTTTCAGCTAATTACTTGTGATTTAATTTGAATTTGTAATTAGCCAGCAAAATGTCATTTTTGTGACAGTTTTGACAGCATGCAGCAGGCAGCAGGCAGCCCGAGCCAGCCGAGGTGTGAGCCCGTCTCACATGTTGGATTAACGCGCCAAAAGTTTTTAATTAGACAGCTCGAAGCAGCAAAAGGTGCTGCTGGGAAGGGTAAACTGAGCAGAAGGCTAAAGCTAAATATATATAAATATATAGAATACTTGTTGATCTCTCGTGTCTATCAAATTATAATAATTATTGAGCACTTGACATCTGGCGAACGCTGTCAACTGCCAAGCGAGATGGAAGTTAAGGCCAAAGATACATTTTTGGCAGCAACTACATAAGAAGTCAAAGAAAAATCACTTAAAATCTTTTGCTTGAGGCAACAAAAGCACAGCACGAAACCATCAACAAGCTGGCCAGCCCACTTGCTCACCTGCTCAGTTCGCCTGGCACGCCCACATCATCAGCAGGAGCTGATGCAGTCAAGTCTAACAAATGGCCGGGAGCTGGGAGCTGGGAGCTGGGTTCGTTTCTACGCAGCTATCTAAAGCTGTTGATAAAGCGCACATTAAAATATATACGTATCTAAGTATCTCAAAGATACAGGTGAGGAGCGTCCTTCGCTTACCTGTCGGAGGGTGTGGGGCGCATTCAAATGAAAACCGTGAGAATCAAAGCAGCAGCCAAGTGGAGCGTAAAGCTTTCAGTGCCCGGATTGCAGCCGAAGTGTCTGTCCGAAATCTAAAAAAACCCTCCGTATCGCTTCAGAGCTCAGAGATTGTCCAGAGAAAGCCGCTGCCGTAGCCGTCGCCGTCGCCGTCGTCGTCGTCTTCCTTGGCATCGCGATGTCGAGTTGTTAAGTTTCATTTTTGTTTTTTTTTTTTTTTTGCCTTCACGTTTCATTTATTACGCAGAGGTTTTTCCATTTCTGTCTTTATTTTTATATTTTTCGTAAATTAAGAATTTCCTTGCTGCTTTTTAGAGCTTCTCAATGACCCCGCCCGTTCCGTTTCGTTCCGTTCCCTTCCATTCCGTTCCACGCCTTATCCCAGTCCCTTAACTGACTGTTGGCGTTATAAAAGCCCAACGCTTCATTGCACAAACATAGTGGCAGGAGCTGAGCCAGGCATTTCTAAAGGCCTGTTGTCTGTAGTTCCGGAGTCAGCAGGGCGCGTGGGGAGTGCCAGCCGCTCCCCACTTAACAGAGCACACAACTTGGCTTGCGGTCGAAGCTCAGCGCTCGACACTCAAAAATTTGCTATGGCTCAAAGAGCTTCGAGCTATGTCATTTCTGCATACGTGAGCATAACTTGTGCCTGTGGGCCCGGCAGGGCGATGGAGGGAGTGAAGAGGTTGTGGTGCATGTTTCTTTCAGCAAGTCTGAAAATGAAATTAATTAAAACAATATAAACAATAGCGCAAAGACATGCCTACAGACAGCGCACACTGTACAGTGAACTACAAATTTTAACCTGTAGCTTGTGGAATATGTAGAGGATAAAGTGAGGACTGATGTAAGGATATATAACTCAAGTACTCGACGGAAACTTAATCGAATTAGGTCAAGTCTTGCAGGGAGACTATTTTATAGATAGTGTTTAATTTCAGCTGTTGACCAAATGAAAGTTTTTGGGTGATTCGATTCACCTTCATAGAGCAGTTAGCAGTCGATTCATGTAGTTTAGGCTTTAAGCTATAAGCACTGAATAGCTATAAATATGACAAAAAGGATGGCAAAATAATAAAATATATATTTTAATATTGCTTAATGAAATATATAAATTTATAACTGCATCTCTAAAATTAAATTGCTTAAAATGTAGGATTTTAGCTTAACTAATTAGCGTATAATATTAATTCATTATTAAGCTATAAAATATAAATATAAATAAATATCTTTATTCATATAAAAAAAATATGCACTTATTTATTGAAGATTCAGTTAAACATTCAGATTTCGATTTAATTTTTTTATTTTATTTGCTTTAATATTAACTTAAATAACAAAACAAAACAATTTAGAATTTAAAATTTAAATTATATTTTATAAACAATATTTCAATTAAATAACATTTTATATATTTATATTTGTTTTATTAGCAATTGAACAAATTTTTATATTATATTTTATTAAAACTTTTTAATTGAATATAAATATATAAATAAATATTAAATATTTAAAAATACATACAGATTTAATTAAATATATTTATATACAATTATTTTATTTAAACATAAATTTTGTTTTATTAAATATATGTTTTATATTTGTTTTGTATTAATTTTTATTATTTTTTTTTTTTTAATTTTAATTAATTAAAAGTTTTATTAAATAAATTTATATATAATATTTTTAATTCAACACAAATTTTATTAAATATTAAAATTAAAATTATAGAATACAAAAAAAATTATTAATCTTTTTAATTTAATTAATAATGTTAATAAAATTTATTGATGTTTTTTCTGCAAATGCAGCTCTAAATTTTGTACCCAAATTGCAGAAAATTTTTTACAAATTTAGCTAAAATATTTTCAGTGCTACATTGAGGCAACATATGGGTTTATTTTGCTTATAGCCAGTGCTCACTTTACAACTTCAAGCCAGCACACCCTTGTCCTAGCCAATCAAACACACACACACACAGATACAGAGTAGAAAATCCTTTTGTAGTTTTTCGAGTGACATAACCCATTGAAAGTCTCATATGAATACACACGGTTCACAATTTAAGCTTATTGTTTACATGGGCCAAGCCAAATAGAACTCATAGAATGGCCAAAAAGTAAAGGAAAGAAAGCAGAGCTGACAACTCTGACAGCGAGTGAAGTGCGCTTCGCTCTCTCTGCTTCAAATCAAAGCAAATAAAATAAGAAAATTATGAAAAGTAGTAAAATGGAAAAGACAAGACAAGAGAAAGCGCTGCAAATAAATTCATCTTGGGTGAGCGTGTGTGTGTGTGTGTGCGTGTGTGTGTGCATTGCAGAATTTGTTGAGTTTTGTGTCTGGATAGCAGTCGGCCAAGATTGGACATTGATAGCGTACGTG